CCCTGCCTCCACTCTCTCTGCCACTTGCGGACTGACCGTTCCGACGGCTGCCGGCCGGGGCCTCCTCCTCCCTCTCAGCAGAGAACCAGCTCAGAGGGGGCGGCCCCAGGCGCAGGGTCCCTGGGAGGACCCACGTCAGCGGCGTTTTGAGCTCATTATCTGGGTAGTAAGGCCTCTTGCAAGGAAACCAATGTCCATCCTTGCCTTTTCTCTCCAGGGGCACTCGTCCCACCTGTGTGTGCAGCCAGCGACGGGCTGAGAGCCTGTGGTCGGGCGGGAGCAGTCTCAGGTGAGAGCAGGTCTAGCAGAGAAAGGGCCTCAGGGCCTTTCAAAACCCCTGGGTGGCCCGCAAACCCCTCCTTGCGGGTCCCCCGCACCTCCAAGAGAGCGCGGGGCCCAGGTCAGCACACCTTGTCCTTCAAACCCACCTGCATGCTCCCCGCCCACCGAGACCATGCTGCCTCCCGGGAGCAGAGCCATCGGAACAGACAGCCCTGCCCCTAGTATAAAAACAGAGGGGAATGAATCCATACAACAGACCCTTCACAAAAACCACAGCATGAAGAGAAGTCCCATCCGAAGGCTTTCCGCGGCATGTACCCTTTAGAGCTGTTATGTAAACAATACACAAATCAAAGTTTCTCTGAAATTTCGCTGGAGGGAAGCAGGTCTACTGATATGTTTACAAGGATGACCTACGCTCTCGCAAAATCAAAGTGGGAGAGGGACCAGGGGAGGGCTGCGAAGGATCCCAGAGGATTCCGCGCAGCCCAACGATGGCTGACACTGGACCCGCAGCAGTCGATTTCACGGCCAGCGCGGTCTCCCCCATCTTCAGCTTTAGATTGTGGAGGTCCGGTCCACCCCGTCTGGAGAGAGAGCACACAGTGGGCACCGTGAGCAAAACAGTTCCCATCAGCCACCTGGTCCCACACCACCCAGGTCGGGCCTCAGTCTCCGAGGACAGATCAGGGCTACATTCATTCGCTCAGTCACTTAGTCCTTCCACACCCACCCATTCACCAGCTGGGAAGGAGCTATTTGGCCGGTAACCATACTGAGCTGGCAGCCAAGACGTAGAGACCCAACCCTCGCCGTCCGGTGCTCACATCCTAGTCCCAACTCATTCAGGTAAGCCCACTGTGGTGGATGAGTGGTGAGTGCTGCAATGCAGCGTGTACCAGGCACGGCAGAAACACAGGGAAGCAGTGCTAAGTCACCCTTAGAAACCAGGGACCGTTTCCCAGAGATACAACAGGACTTTCGTGGAGGCTGCTGCAGGAGGAGAGAGGAGCAGCCGGAGAGGATGAGTGGGGAGGGCACACAGCTCACCTATAGGCATGATGACGGCCATCAAACGGTGAGCTGCGGGCAGGCTGGGGGTTTAGGGTGAAGGATGGGGACGGAGGAGTGGCCCGAGAGGAGCCACAGTCAGGCACGGCCTGCAATGCACCTGCAGGTGGACCTCACTCACATCCCTCTCTCTGGGGGCCCCTCCCTCCCATCCTGAGGCTCTGCTGCATGACTGGGAATGAGGTGGCGTGACTCTGAGCCCTGGTCACAGCTGAGCAGACCTGGGGGACGTATCGGACCCAAACTGACTCCGATTCTGTCTCAAGAACCAGACCAGGGGCAGACACCACGGTTAGGAGTGGTGGGCACTGGGCACGGCGGAGCCTGTGGAAGACGGACAGTGTCGAGGCCGCCAGGATGTGCTGTGTCTGGTTGCGGCTATGAAGGGGGGGGGTATGTGCGCCAGATTTGAGAAGCCGTGGGTGGACAGACGGCAGAGGGGCCCAGGCCTGCCTGACCCCTTCCTGGCTTCCCACTTAC